CACACAATATATACACATATATATATATACACAATATATATACACAATATAAACGCAAAATAAATATATACACAATATATATATATATATATATATACACACAATATATATATATATATATATAATGACACACTCTCTTCTTCACAAAAATGCTAAGTTCTCTCTATCTCAAAGCATTCAGCAGATACAACTAATTCAGTAATTAACTAAAATAAACACAGATTGCTTAATTCTCTAATTGTATTAGCATGGGGTGCAATCACTGAAGTCAATGCAAATATTCAATAATCAAATATAACAATTAAATAAAACCCCAACTATGCCAAAAAACCATAACATTCTAAGCCTGGAACCTCAATGAAAATCTATTTAATATCTATAATATTAATAATTAATCATTTTAAAGCAGATTCAGACTCATGAGAGACATATGTATGGTTGCATATGTCATTTTACAACCATTTCACATTTGAACACATTTCTGATTTGATGTAACCTTACTGAGGGGCTGTTGTGGTACATAAGACAAAAAAGCTTGGCAAGTACATGTCTAGAGCACATAGGCAATCTAGGCAGTTTTCCATGGTTATGTGCTTCTATTCTATTGTAAATCTTCAACTGACTTATCACTGGAGTATAAAGTTTCACTAAAACCATCTCAATTAGATTAGAATTGACATTCCTTTCCCAAACTGTCTTCACCTTGTGGTTAATATTGCCAGCTTAATAATATTGATATCACAACTTTATATAACATTTATTTAACCACATGGTGCTCACAGTCAAAGCAGTGAGGGAGTTGGAAACAAACACAGTAACGAACAGCATAGACAAACAAACAATGAGCAAACAAACAATGAGCAGAGCGATATTGACCTACCTTCCAAATGCAGTGCTGGAGATCTTTCTGTTTGGGCTGGAAAACAAACAAAAGAGAGCCAATTAGAACTTCATATTAACAGGTGTAAATCCCTCAGTTTTATATTTACGTTACATTTTGCTGAAAATAAGTTAAGAAAAATAATTAAAAATATATTTGTACAACAATTAATTGAATGGCAGTTCAACATATGTTATTATATGATAACATACTGTATATGATTTTAGTCATGATGGTCAATTGCTCTGATGTGGAACAGATCAAAATCACCAAATTATAGGGTGATACAGACATGTTAGTTAATTATATGTTAGATAATAATTCTCAAAACAAAAACATCAGATTTGTGAGTCTAATGCTTTTAAAAAGTAACGGGACACAAAATTGTACCTTTATTAGTGTAAAGTGCTAGAGACATTTTTGCACTTAACCCAGACTCACTCACAACATATTTGAATATAGTGTCGGCCCTGGCACGAACATCAGTTCACATACCTCCAAACTTAAAGCCCACAAAAAGTCTTTGAATAGAGTTTGTTACATTGCTCAAATATACAACTGCTACTTGAGTAAAACTTGCAGTTACTCAAGTTACTGGAGAAGAGATCAACACAACAAAAGCAGAAAGCAACTGAAGGATGTGACTGTTAATGGTTTCCTTTCTATAAGAGTGTTAAAGTCTTCACTGTCCACTCAGAACTCAAATATTAATAATTTCTATAGGAAAGCAGCACATACTAAAGATTCATACACAAAACTCTCTCCTGCTCTCTCTCTCTCATACACACACACACACAGAGTTATTGCCGACATAGCTTTTTCTAGCAGTGACAGAATGAGGTGTGAACTAATGCATTTCTTGAAGCAGCCTGCTGACAGGGCATTTAGCTTTCATTCCTCCTCTCTATCCTGTAGCTCGTCCTGTCTTTTTTGCTTTCTTCCCCTTCAATAGTATGACACTCTCTTCCCCAAAATATGATCCAATTACTAGTTCATCCTCTGTTTTGACAGGCTAAGATATGAGAAGCTAATTACAAACCCTCTCAAAAGAAAAAAAAAGTTAAAGTAAACTCACGGGAAATCCTTGAAATTGGCAGGGATGAAGAAAATAAGAAAAACGTATCCAAAGCCTCAGAAGAGTTTGGCTGTTTGTTCATGCGTGAATGTGGATGTGAGTGAGAATGATTCAAAATACAGAATGCACAGAGTCAGATAAACAGAATCATTAGTGGTGCAGAGAGACTGCAGCAAGATATCAGAGCTCCTCCACCTCAGTTGTGTTCTCATATACTCACATTAACTCCTTGAGGAACACATTGCCTCTATTACACTGCCACTTTAATTTAGTCTATTGTAGCCCTCAGGAAGACAATGAAGAACCGATAACCCCTAATCCTCCCAAAGCGCCTCTAACATGGATTCCAAGCCACTAAAAGCTTATTTCCCAGATGTGAGGGGTAACTCCTTTTACATTACTGAAGAGAAACTAGACAAGTCAATAACCACTTAACCCTTATTTCAAAGATTTAACTCTAACAAGTCTTCCTGAAGATGAGCTTACACCCAGTAAAAAGTATTTTACAACTTTATCTTTCATAACAGATGTAAACTGTAGCCTCTGCAGTACCTGTTGGTTTTGAGATTTTTCAGCCTGTTCTCCAGGTCATTGAGCAGACTGACCCTTTTACAACACTGAGAGCAAAACACATCCATCTGGTTACCAGCATGGCGCATCTTCCGAGGACTCTGACCAGCACTGGAGGAAACAGGGAGAGGGAGAGAGAGAGACTAGGTCAAACACATTTATGGCACATCAAATGAGCATTCTGAAAACATTCAATAAACAATATAAGCAGAATGTAGAAAAAATACTATACAATCGTGAAAATTAAAGAAACTAAAATAAAAAGTGATCATCTCTAGAAAGCCAAGTCTGATAAAAAAATTTCCCCCCAAAGAAGCGTCATGCCTATTCAAACATGCCTCAACAGTTATTTGAACCAAGTAGATTATATATGCAAATTTGGATAGAGAAGACTGGGGGATGGTGGTAACACTGAGTAGCACCATCAGTTTGAGCACTAGAAGTTAGGTACAAGGATGCAATCGTTATAATACATGACCACCATCCTTTGAGGGTGGTAGTAGATTGTGTACAAATATAAATCATTTACATGGTGAAAAAACTTTCGGGCTAGAAATATCAACATTTCACTTATGGGTTATTATAATATGATTTACAATCAGATATGCATATTAGATAACAGAACATGTATCATATGAAGCAGATTATTTTGTTTAATTTCATTTATACTACAAATCAACATCTTCCTCTTAAAGGGTTCATATGATGTTGCTAAAAAGAACATTATTTTGTGTATTTGGTGTAATGAAATGTGTTTATGCGGTTTAAAGTTAAAAAAACACATTATTTTCCACATACTGTACATTATTGTTTCTCCTCTATGCCCCGCCTTTCTGAAACGCATCAATTTTTACAAAGTTCATCGGTCTGAAAAGCGAGGTGTGCTCTGATTGGCCAGCTATCAGTGCGTTGTGATTGGCCAAATACCTCAAGCGTGAGACGGAAATGTTACGCCCCTCACCATACTGTGATGACGCCCTGTCAGGCCGGAGCGATGATTCAAAAACATGAAAACCCATTATAAACGAGGCATTTGTTGCATCCAATGGGGACATAATTACTGATTATAATGACTTATACTGTCGTTTTACGCGTTGCGTTGCATTGCGCCGAGTAAACATAAAACCCTGTCTGCATTTGTGATCAGAGAAATGACAAACAACAAGTGCTAACGTTAATCCACACTGCCCAAAACTCGCGTTTGAATCATCAGTGGCAAATCCTTTAAATATGAAAACGTACTTACAGACTG